CAAGGTTCAACAAGAACAGAGCAACGTCTTTAAGAACTTCCAGGAAGGACCCATTACTTTCGCTCCTACGTACAAATATGATTTGTTCTCGGACGATTACGACACCAGCGAGAAGTGTCGTCAACCTGCATGGACAGACAGAATTCTTTGGAAGCGCAGGAAGCAAATACCTGATATTGGTTGGTTTTTTCTGTCATATGATTATTTTTAATCCTATATAAAGTATACATGTAAATATAATCTTATATAATTCTATATAAAGTATACATGTAAATATGATTGTATTTCTGTATCAGTTTAAATGTACATTTCAGACTCGCCTACAGATTGGAATCCAGGAAAGTTGGTTTATTATGGCAGGGCGGAATTGAAGCAAAGTGATCATCGACCAGTAATTGCCACGATTGATATAGACGTGCACTGTGTCGATCCCGAGAAGCGTGAGTGCGTGTTTAAAGAAGTGATACAAGATCTGGGTCCTCCCGATGGTACGATAATAGTCAAAGCAGTGGAAGATATCGAAGATATGGATAGCGTGTTCGATAATAATCTTATGTTCGCCCTAATACAAGACCTATCTCACATCGGCGAGGCAATTCTAGTACGTTATGTCGGCGAGACTATCTGGGTAACATTCAGGGATGGCCAGTGCGCCCTGGCTGCGGCGAAGAAGGGCATGACACAGGTATGCGGTCAAACGTTAAAATTGTCGCTAAAATCACCTGATTGGGTACAGCAGATCGAAAAGGAAATCGAAATCTGCAGTAATACTACAATCGCTCAGTTTACGGCGGATTCGCCATTGAGAAGTCCCATGCAACGATTGGAACAATTAGAGATTGCTGAGCGGCCGTCTCCCAGCAGAGGTAGCCCAAATGGTGTAATCCCACCCCCGAGACCAGCACCACCAGGCCGACCTTCCCAGCCACCGAAGAGTCCCGCTCACGAGCGAAAGCAAATACCACGAGCGGGTGTCTTCAGCGTGATTCCCAATCAATTCGCGTGTCCAGTGACGCCACCGGTTGCGGATACGATGGAGGATAATCGACAAGACGAAAGACTTTCGCCGGATTCGGCCATATACGAAGAAATACTTGATGGATCGCCCAGCTATCCCGTACCAAATCGACCACCGCCGCCTTTACCACGTATGGATGGTCCTCAGGAATCATTGAGTAGACCACCGCCCAGCTCAGTACCTCCTCCATTGCCACATAGACAAGCTCCGCCGCCTCCGCAGCATCCACCACCGAGTCTACCCCCATCGAACGCTCCACCACCCGTTCCTGCAAGAACCACCGGTGGGCCGCCCATTCCGGCCAGAAATCCTCATTAAAAGAGAGACGAAAAGAGTAGAGGATAAATAAATAGGATGCATAAATGGGACATAAATCCTATTAGGCCAGACTTCCGGTACGCTTAGCATTAATCTAGTATGTGTGGTTATTTATGAGATTAAACGACGAGACGACAGTCGACGAGTTTTCACTTTCAAACTGAGTTACAGATCCGCGTAGCATATTTAAGAATCCCAAATCTGTTTTGTAATTACTCTGAAAACGATCGGTGGTCATCGCGAGTCGGAGTAATTGTAAGTCATTTCGATCTCTGATCGCGAATATAATTAATTATAGTAAATTTGTACTCGTAGATTATTTTTGAGCTTATCGAACACTGTATTTTGTATTTCTATATGTTGATGGTAATATAATCGTGTTGATCTGTTCTCGCGATAACACGAGAAATCATTGTTTTTGCATTGAATGTTTAAAGTGGCGCGAACAGCTATTGTTTCGAAGATCCAATCGATTTATAATTGTTGATACAGATTTGAAAATGTATATTCAAAGCCCGTTAAAATCGTAAAATTGGATATATCACGAACACGTTAATATAATCATCAAAGTTTAAACAGCGAAATACTTGCAGTAATAATGTTATAGTTGTCACTGCTTGTATTATATATTAATAACTTAAAATGTTAATTCTCAATGTTAGAATCACTTTTAAGGTTTAGGAATCCTTCACCGTATCTTAGTAGCGTAAAAACTACCAAAAAAATATGTAACTAAGACTCCGAGGAGCGAATTTAATTTTACAATTAATCGTGTGTAGTATGATGTAACAGAAGGAAAATGGTAGACTCAAACAGTATTCTCACAGACATAAGGTAAGATATTTCTTATAATTGCCCTGAATTTCCTCTTTCTTGCATGCGATGCGGAAAGCGGCTAATTTAATTAATTTAAGGTTATCCTGTAATTATGTTCGTTTATATATCTCTTTTCTCTAATTTCAAAGTTCCTATATTTTGCATTCCATCAAAATTTTTAGAACATCCGTCCCAACAGGTTCAACACCCATCTATATTTCTTTCCTAACGCCTCGCAATTTTTATTCTCCAGAGAATACAGTATCCTGTTTCCTATTATGATACAAATGTCCTATGATTTTGACTGTCACATTATTTACAGAGTGAATAACGAATACAAATTAAATGAAGAATAGTCATTACGTAAGCGTCATAATTCACAAGAAAATACGTATGATATGGCAGCCAAAATGTTAATTTATGGGTGTTTTCCAACAGATTAAACACATGTCATACTGTCACATTATTACAATTAATAACATTAAGTTTGTTTGCGTTGCTTGAAATCTCCCAAAATTTTGCACTTGAAAGAAAATAAATATACATTCGGACGTGAAGAGAGAGAAAGCGAGGTGCAAAAAATACAAGCAACACGAACAGACCTATTATTATATATTCACCTGCAAAAAATATATAATTCTTGAAATGTTGATAACTGAAACATTTTGCACGCTTTGTACTTAAATGTTTACATAGTATCGAGCAGTGCAACATTACATTGTGTTACAGTTAAAATATTTCGTGTTGAACATAGTATTATCCTGTATCATCACATATGTCAGAATGAGATATGGTTCCGCGTAAAAGCGGTCGACTCATATTAGTGGGATCCCAAGTTCATTCTATGTATCTCCTCTTGAAATCGTTTTTCATAATCTTTCCATGCTGAAGATTTAACAATCCTTTGTATGGCTTGTCTTCGCCGTGAGGACAGAGTAATGATACATTCATTCACAAATAATAATATGCTCATTTACAAAAAAAATATATTCCACAGTGACTTATATCTTGTAGATCACTGTGTTGTTACATTAATATTTTTTGCAAATGAGTATATTATTATTTTATACTCTGCTTTTAGATAACGAAAAATCATTTGAAGTGAAAATACATAGGATAAACGTCAGGGGGACGCTACCAATACGAATCTTAAAATGATTTCCTGTTATCTTTCAATGATTAAAAATTTGTCTATTTCTATCATGAATATCGTTTTCTGCGTAAAAGTGTAATATAATTGAAAATAATATGCCTATCAAAAAAATATATAAATAAAAGCCTATATTTTTTTGCGAGTAAGCATATTATATCCTGTTTTCACGCAAAAGATAGCATCATTATGAGTTTTATCAAATCTTAACCACTCACTTGTGTAGTTCATAATTTACTATATTAGACTACATCGCGCGCATTGTGTAAATTGCAGTATAGAGAAAAATCTTTTTCTCTAAGCTTTTAATTCTATAAATTGAGTGCTGTTCGATCACGTAGTTCAAAATGTGAAGCGATTTTATTTTGTCCATATAAGCTGTAAAATTTTTATAGTCAGGCCAGAACTGAAAAAAAATGTAACTTCTATCTTTTTTCATTTTTATAAAAATTGTCTGCCTCACGTTTCTCTTTATTTTATGTAGTCTACTTCAATTCCGTAAAAAGATTTTTAATTCTCTTTACAATCAATTTGAAAAAATTCCTTATAAATGTCAGTAGTTCTCATCACTCCAATATCGCTTTAACATATAATAAGTCTATTTATTTTTAATATAAATATTTTTTAAATTTTTCTTTAAATTTTTTTTTCTTTTTTTTTTTTATTAAAAAGAAATTATTTCATATGAAATATCACATTTATATTAGCTGATGTATTGGTTTTTATTATTATATTAACACGTAAATATTATTAACAAAAATAAAAATCTATAAAAAATTGTGATGGTATCGTCAGAAACTAAGATTAGAATTCCATCCGTTTAAAAAAATATTGTACATGATTCAACACAGTGTATTATCTTTGCTGGAAAATACCCCATTATAAATTGTACATATTCCTATTTAATACCTTAATTTTTATCACTTCCAGTTCAGTTAAGGTCTAACTGTATACGTCGCGGGACGTATACATATGTGTAAAGTAGTATAATAAAATATGTATAGCCAATATAAGAGAAAATTGTTTCCGATGTACACTTATATTACACGTAGGATACGGGTTTTGTCCTGCACCTTGGCAACACGCATTTCTTCACGCTTGCGTGCATAGTTGATGCGTTTTATCAGTTAAATCGATTCTCACCTATACAAGATGTAAAACATTGAACATGTATATATGTATTGAATGGTCTAATAAACAGAGCAGTCGGGAACAGAGAAAGCGTCGACTTTTAAAAAAGAAGAAATTTCATTTATTGATCTAAACTGTGTGTATATAAAGAAATTTGATTTCGACTTGTCTCGTGTACTAATGCTAACGTTGTCATTACGTCCGTTTGGCGAATCGAGGAATGAAAACATCCCTCGGTTTTATTACTTATTAATACGTATATATATATATAAAAAAAGAGAAGCTTGTACAAAAATTTTTCTCTCAAATTGATAAATATATACTGTAAAAAAAGATGCACAGAGAGCTGTGTTTGATGCCCATTATGATGTTAAATTTCTATTTGTCATTATAATGCAAGTAGATATGAGCAGAAATATGTTTTTGCTTAATACGTAATCACTTTTAGCTTAATAAATTATATACAAGGAAATATCACTAAATTAATAGCTATCTAGGTTAGTATAGTTAAATTACATTTAGAGAACAACAGAAACAAAGGACTGTTTCTGATTTTCTTAATCGGGAGTATAAGTAAACGATACGTTTTATATATTTAACATTATCGCCTCGAATTTTTTTTCTTTTTTTTTCTTCCGCGCATTGCCAGGAAAAGCATTGTTTTCTTTTATAAAAAAAAAAAATAATGAAAATTTATTAACTCAAAAAGAGATAAACATATAACAATAAGGAATTTAAAAAATACTTTTAAAAATGTAATCTATTTAATCAGATATCAATATATATGTTAATTAATTCAAAAATAATTTTCAAAAATAATTATTATTTTATAAACAGTGCATAAAAAACATTCTTGGCGACAACGCGAAATGCTCAGTCATCAGACTGAAATATCAATTTAACTCCCAAATATATTGAATACTTTGTTCGTAATTTGAGAATACTTCGTTGTCTAATCGCCGAATGTAAAATTAATAAGTTAAGGATCGAGTAACACATTTATACTAAAAATCCGGATGAATTTACGCAGAATTTTTTTACAAAGAACATTTCATTAAAAACTATAGAATCGAATAGAGTTGCATAATACCATTATAAAATATATCAAGAGCCTAATGTATGTTTGTGTATGTGTATGTAAATAAAATCCTCGCATAATATATATTCGTATTTATGGATACGTTTCTCTTAAAACTTTCGATCAGTCTCTTCATCATTCTCTAATGCATTCGCGAAGATTAATGAGTCGTCAATGTATTAAGATATATCCCTTCTTTTTCGATAATTTACTGATCGAGTATTGGAATGTTTAACTCAGTAATCCGCAATTATTTAAGTTGTTCTTGATTATTACGTCGGTCACGGCATCGAACACAAACTGTATATTGGATGTGTCTGTTGCGCACGTAAAGTGCGTGTAGATTTGTTTCTGATCCTTCCTTTTATTCAGATTTTCGAATTTCATCTGGATATAAGAGGCGCATTCCTCGTAGGTGTTGGCGCCCTTATATTCCGGGAAACAGATAGTAAGCGGGCTCCTGGTGATCTTTTCTTCGAACAGATCTTTTTTATTCAGGAACAGTATAATAGACGTTTCGACAAACCATTTGCTATTACAAATCGAGTCGAACAGCTTCATCGATTCTATCATGCGATTCATCTCCTCGTCCTCTGCTAATACCAGGTCATAGCCGCTCAGAGCAACGCAGAAGATGATCGCAGTGACGCCTTCGAAGCAATGTATCCATTTCTTTCTTTCAGACCGTTGACCGCCAACATCAAACATTCTGCAAAGAGAAAATACATTATATCTTGATTTTTTTAGATATAATAAAATATTTTTTTATGTACAATAAAACCATTTCGTTTTGACTATTT